GGAACTTTGAGTGAATTTGTCCTGTTTCAATGATCTAAAAGTCCTCTTCCTTGGGGAACCGAGATGACCAAGATTCTGATTTTCAACACCAAGATAGTGATTTCTTTAATAGAAAAAGAGGTAACTGAGTCCCGGATCAGTTTCCTTGTAAGTTTTTTTAATTGCAATTGGACCCACAAGATATTCAAATTTTACTTTCTTGGCCTGTTAAATGAGTGGGGCAAAAAATGGCTTTGAGGCCATGGTAATGCCACGTACTCCATTTGGAATAAAGCTAGAAGAAGATAATGAAGTTCTTAAAAGAGTGGCCTATGTTTCAAAAAGGAAACATTAAATAAAGTTAATAGAAGCAGAAAATTTGTTTTATTCTTCTTCTTTTTTATTTCTTTATTGTTTGATATCGGAATTCCCTGTGTTTTTATTTATTTTATTTTCATGAAAAACTTGTGGGAAAATTTTGTGAGCTTGAGAATATTTAGTGTGAACTAAAAGACCCTTTTTTCTGTGTGGTTCATTTTACGGGTTAGTCTAGCAAGAACAGTAGAAGATCTTTTAATAGTGTTAACTGGTACTCTTCTTATCTCTTTATCAAATATACACTAAATATATATATATAAATGATGATTGTTTTTGCTTGTTGTTTGATGTGATATATAGTTGATCGTGTGCTTAATAATGGGTATTTGGTGTTTTTAGCTATTGGTTAAGATTTTGTTTAAATTTTCTTATTTTTTCTGATTGGCGGTGTTAATGGTGGTGGTTGGGGGGGGGGTTGTGATAGCTTTATATGATGAGAATTTTGGTGTGTAAAGGCTTTTGAATTTTGTTCCTTGTGTTTGCAGTTAATTGACTGGAAAAAAAACTGGGTTTCTTTCCTTTTGCGACAATGAAATGAGTTTATGATTTCAATATGATAATGGTAGAAGTGAGCGATTGGATAAGAAGCCGGCGATTTTCTTCGTTTTTTGGTTGTTTGAGTGGCGGTCTTCATGCAATTCTTGGAGGATAACAATGGAGGGTTCGTCTGAGTCTGCTTGGAAGGAGTCTGATAGTTCTAGGGCACTGAACACTTCTGGTGTCTCGGATAGGGATCCTAGTCTGTTTCGTGTTGAAAGAACGGGCATTTCGGGAGACGTTTCGCGTGATTTCGGATTCACGGAAGAGGATGGTAGGGTTTTGCTGACTCATAATGATCACCTTAGAAGCCAAATTGGTGTTTCCGGGGTTTGCGAGACGGCTGTAAACCCTTTCATCCGTTCCATCGAATGGGGTGATGTTAGCTTGAGGCAATGGTTGGATAAACCGGAAAGATCTGTTGATGTCTATGAGTGTTTGCATATATTTAGGCAAATAGTTGACATTGTAAATATGGCACATTCACAAGGGATTGTTGTCCATAATGTTCGACCTTCGTGCTTCGTCATGTCCTCATTTAATCATGTTTCCTTCATTGAATCTGCATCTTCTTCTGATTCGGGGTCGGATTCTGTCGAGGATGCATTAAATAGCCCAAATATGGAGGTTCAGGGTTTACCCTCTACTTTGCCCCTTGACATGCATCGACAACGTAGGCTGATGAATGAAGACGTGCAAACTCCAAGAAATGCTTTATCCGAAGCTAGTTGCATGCAGTCGGGCTCGGTATGTCCTAGGAATGCTCATATAGAGGAGAGTGAAGAAAATAAAATCTTGGAATGTCGAAATTCCGAGCAAGTAGAAGAGAAAAAGCAACCGTTTCCTATGAAACAGATATTGCTTATGGAGACCAGTTGGTACACTAGTCCTGAAGAGGTTGCTGGCTCTCCCAGTGCCTGTGCTTCGGACATCTATAGGTTGGGAGTTCTCCTTTTTGAGGTTAGCTTCAATAATGCTTGATACTATCGTCATTTTTCGAACTTTTGAAATAATTTGGTGATGTTAGTTTATTAATTATTGTTCTTTCATTGTGTTGAATATGAAAACCTTTTTTGTTGCATCACTTTAAACGAGTACGTTTTCGTGTCTGCAGTTGTTTTGTCCCTTCAGCTCAAGAGAAGAGAAGAGTAGAACTATGTCTAGTTTAAGACATCGAGTTCTTCCTCCACAATTGCTACTGAAATGGCCGAAGGAAGCTTCGTTTTGTTTGTGGTTATTGCATCCCGAGCCAAGTAGTCGTCCAAAAATGGGGTAATCTCTCCTTGGTTTTTGCATATTCATATGTCTAGTTTAAGACATCGAGTTCTTCCTCCACAATTGCTACTGAAATGGCCGAAGGAAGCTTCGTTTTGTTTGTGGTTATTGCATCCCGAGCCAAGTAGTCGTCCAAAAATGGGGTAATCTCTCCTTGGTTTTTGCATATTCATTCACCATTATTTATATAATTTCTAAATTTGGTTCCCATTAGCCCTTACCATTTGGTTATATAATTTCATTAGCCCTTCGTGAAATAATAGTAAAAATAAATCTCGTTCATGCTACTTTCAATTACTTTTAATGTCACCATTGTTGTGTTGATGTATTGATATTGTTTTTGTGTAACAGTGAGTTGTTACAAAGTGAGTTTCTTAATGAACCAAGGGATGATCTGGAAGAACGTGAAGCGGCCATCGAGCTCCGGGAGAGAATAAAGGAGGAGGAGTTACTGCTGGAATTTCTTTTGATGATACAACGAAGGAAACAGGAAGTCGCCGATAGGTTGCAAAATACTATTTCTTTTCTGTGTTTCGACATTGCAGAAGTTACGAAGCAGCAAACGATCTTAAAGAAAAAGGGCTGCTCATGTACTGAACCGGGGAAAGATGACAATTCTACATCAAATTTCCCCTCGATAAATATTGCTGATACCGATGATTCTTCTAGCTTGGGGTCTAGAAAACGATTTAGACAGGGACTTACGGTTCAAAATGTCGAAGAATGTGGTGATAATCTAGAAACTCGTCAAAAGTCCGATACACATTCTGAAAATCAAGAAAGTTTTCTTCTGAAAAGTTCTCGGTTGATGAAGAACTTTAAGAAACTTGAGTCGGCATATTTTTTAACAAGGTGCAGACCCGTGAAGCAATCTGGTAAGTCTTTGAGTAGACAAACACCATTGAATAGTGATGGCCGTGGATCTATTGTTATGACTGAAAGGAGTTTTGTCAATAATTTAACCACGAAAGAGAGCTACAGCGAGAGCTCGGAAAGCGGATGGATAAATCCATTCCTTGAGGGCTTGTGCAAGTATCTGTCCTACAGCAAGTTAAAAGCCAAGGCAAATTTGAAACAAGGAGATTTATTAAATTCTTCCAATCTGGTATGCTCTCTCGGGTTTGATCGTGATGCAGAATTTTTTGCTACAGCCGGTGTAAATAAGAAGATAAAGGTCTTTGAATGCAATGCTGTCATGAATCAAAATCGTGACATCCACTATCCCGTGGTTGAAATGGCTAGTCGTTCTAAGCTAAGCAGTATATGTTGGAATAGTTATATCAAAAGTCAGATTGCATCAAGTAACTTCGAAGGAGTGGTGCAGGTACGTAAAGCATTCTTTGTTCGGTTGTCATTTTTCTGCATCTGAATCCATATCTTGACCATTTTCAGGTGTGGGATATTACGAGAGGTCAAGTACTCACTGAAATGAGAGAGCACGAGAAACGCGTATGGTCCATCGACTTTTCATCAGCAGATCCAACAGTTTTGGCTAGCGGGAGTGACGACAGCTCTGTAAAGCTATGGAGTATCAATCAGGCAATTCTACTTTCGCATTTGATGGATGTCAGCTTTGAAAATAAACGTACTACGATAATCGGATTACTTTGTGTATATTTTATTCTCTATGTATGATAAGTTTTTCTCTTACCTGGGATGCTATTGCAGCGAGCAAGTATTTGTACCATCAAAACGAAGGCCAACGTCTGCTGTGTCCAGTTTCCTGTTGATTCTGGTCGTTCTCTTGCGTTTGGATCGGCAGACCATAAAATTTATTATTACGATCTTCGAAACTCTAGGATTCCTCTATGCACTCTAGTTGGACACAATAAAACTGTGAGTTATGTCAAGTTTGTCGATGCAAATACTCTCGTGTCTTCGTCCACGGATAACACTTTGAAGCTTTGGGATTTGTCGATATGCAATTCTCGGGTCATTGATACTTCCCTTCAGTCCTTTACCGGCCACATGAATGTAAAGGTATATTAACTTGTACTTTAATGCTTCTTACATTACAATGTAAAAATCTGACAAATTTATTCGGTTTGATCGGGTTTGTTTTATCTTCATGAACAATTTCTTGTCCCGACATAACTCGTCATGGAAAATTATTCCCTCTGGTTGATGTATTTCATATTGTGGTTGCATATTCTCCTTGTTGCAGAACTTTGTGGGCTTGTCGGTATCTGATGGTTACATTGCTACTGGCTCCGAAACTAATGAGGTAATACATGCATTCTCGCGATATATACTTGTATAAACATCCCCGAATAGCTCGGTTTTACCGGCCTTCTTATTGCTCCAGTACTCTATTGACATGCTGAAACCATTTTGCGATTTTATCCTTTGTCGAACATATCTGAATGTGCAATTGCTAGATCTCATTTACTTCCGGTATTGAACATGTCTGTAGAATTTTATGTTTTCTTCTTTTTTTCGATCAGGCATTCGATCCGTTATGCCTTTTGAACATGATAAGGTACAGATTTATACTTTTAGCACTCACTAGAAACTCTATTGTGTAGGTATTCATATACCATAAAGCTTTCCCGATGCCGGCATTGTCGTATAAGTTCAACAGCACGGATCAACTTTCTGGACACGAAACGGATGATGCCGCACAGTTCATCTCTTCTGTTTGTTGGCGTGGCCAGTCCTCTACCCTAGTTGCTGCAAATTCCACTGGGAACATCAAATTTCTGGAGATGGTTTAGTTTGGTCTCGTCTCTCGGAATCATTCTTCGTTGAAGCAAAAGGACAAACGGACAAAAGGAAACTGTACTCCATACCGGCACAAAGCATCGAATAAAGATGGGTATCGGACACCGGAAAGTATAAAAGAGTATAGCATTTGAGCCAAAAAAAAAACAAAAGATGAAAACATTTTTGTCTGTAGATGATAACAGATGCAATTAACATGGAGATTTGAGAATGACTTCATAAAATATATGTAGATAAGATTCAAAAGAACAAATAACAAAGGACAATCATCTTGTATATTTTGTAATGCCTTATAGTTCATAGTCATTTTTCAGCAAGTATATTTGATTTCCTGATCCTTCACTGTCTGCCATTTCTTGATGAAGCTATTTACAAATATTTCGACCTTCGAGGCACTGAATTCGCTCGTTGGTGTTGACCCGAACATGATAATCTGAACTCGAACTTGGATTAGTTTACCAGAAGCTAAGATTAGGTCAAATGAGCAGTGCTGTTACTAAAATTCTCTCTATTAGATGCTAATGCTTCAGCTGTTGTATGCCTCATCAATTGAGCTGCTGCTTTAAACTATTTACACTGGTCTTGACCGTTATTGCTTTCATGACTAACCTAGTTACAAGTTGGTTAAGCCTCTAGGCTCCCGGACCTGGCCTGATCTTGTTCGAGTCTCTAACTTCCGTGCATGTCAACTTGCCGGAACACCAAGCACCGGGAGTGAAGCACCCTTTTTCAGAAGGCTATCTCCAAACATAAAATCTTGCGTCCCCAAGCAAAAGAAAAAGAGATATTATGCTTTAAACTTGTGACAAAAAACAACACAACCATCTTCGTTTTCTTCTTCCATTGCAGTACCTAGCAAAAATTGATAAACCACAAGAAATGTTCGTATTAATTAAGTTTATAGTATTACAAACACATCGAAATAATTGAGAAATAACAATACATGACATTTTGCTTCCATTATTAGGTTTTGCAATCTAAGAAATTTTGTTTGTTAAATTCAGAACCTTTCTTAACTATTGACAACACATATCCATCCTACAGCCGTAGCTGCTCGAGCCCGAGACCTCTAGTAAAAACAATATTTCCTTCTACCACTGAGGCTCAATGAATTTGTAATTCAGGAACTCGATCCAGGGTCGAAACTTGAGCAAGGGTCGAAGAACATTCTTAACATTGAAATGAGGGTGTGCCCACTCTACTGAATTCCACCAATCCATTTCATTGAAGCAAATTTCCTCGAGAGAATTAGCAGAAGATAGTTTTCCTTCATCATCAACCTTTAGTTGTGGAAGATAAAGAGGAATCCGCTTTAACTTTGGACAATCAATTATTTCAATGAATTGGAGAGACTCACAAACCATCACTCCATTTTCACTACAAATGCTCTTCAGTCCTAGTAAACTGCATAACCTCAATCTCCTTAATTTCGGAAAACTGAATTCGGTCTCGGATCCCGTCACGATTTCTTCCAATTCCCAGCAAAGCGTAACATCGATCTTTTCCAAGTTGTGTAGAACCCAATCAGATGAAAGCAATTGCTTTATTTTATGACAACCGCTTAGAACAATCTCTTTGAGTGAAGAAAATATGCCCATTGATGATTCTTCAACTCCAGCTAAAACTTTCAAATTCCATAAATGGGTTAGTGTAAGATACTCGAGTGTTCGAAGCTGATCACAATTGGATGAAAATACAGACTCTAACTCATCACAACGAACGAGTTCACATACCTTCAAATCAGTCCCATCCCTCAGTCCCACCTCGTTTAAACTTGTCACACCTTTGCAATGATTAAAATGTAATTGTTGAAGTTGGTATGGAAGTACAATTGCAGCTCCTGAATTAATCTCAATGCTCTCGAATCTAACCGAATTCCGAGAAGATGACCGAGAATATTGAACAAAGGATCTAGGCTTGTTCTGTGGGCATACTAAAATCGAGTATTTGTAGAGTTCTTTTCTCTGACCTGCATACATGTTCAAGTAGCCAACGTTGGAGAAGCCGCCTTCGAAAGCCTCCAGCTTATTCAATTCACTCATCTCTTCAGCATTTTGTAATATCGAATGAATCGCCAAATATTGAAGCCGGCGTAGTTTCGACAATAATCCGGTAGCGATCTCTTTTAAACATCTGGTGTACCCGAGATCGAGATATCTAAGATTTACCAACATTCCCAGACCTTCAGGCATTTCCCGGACTCCACTGGATCGAAGATCCAATTTCCTCAAAGCTTGAAGCTTTACTACGCAAGGCAAACTCTCTAACTCACAACATCCGTTGAGCAACAATGCAGTGAGTTTCTCCAAACCAGAAACAGAGTTAGGTAAACTCTTAATAGGATTGTGAGAAAGATCAAGAATCTTGAGGTTCGGAAAATGCTCAAAGAAAGATTCTGGAATTTCTTTCAATGAATTATGTGAGAGTAACAATGTTGTGATCTTGGGAAACTTCGGAGTACCCTTCATGGTTCGAGGAACTGCTGATATGGAATTGTGCATTAAAGAAACCTTCTCCAGATCTTCACACCATTCTTCCTCATTTGGTACCTCTTCCAACAACATGCCAGCTTTTACCAGAAATCTTTTTCTTGTGATATGCAACGCCATGTCTCTAACAAGATCATGCATTTTTACATGCATACCATCCTCAACCCTTTCCAGCAAACAATTTTCTTCGAGCTTTTGCAAAATGGAATGACCGCTACACTCCATTGCTTTTCTACTTCCCATTTCATCTATAAGCCCTTCTTCCATCCAATACTCGATTAACTCGTGCTTTTTGATTTCGTGATCTTCGGGGTATAATGCACAATACAAGAAACAATCTTGATCCTTTTCTGTTAGATGATCATAGCTGAATTTTAAACACCTATACACCTTTTATCTTCCATATCGTGGATGTTTCTAATGTTGCCTTGCAATTCATCTATGGCATTTTCCCACAAACGAGGATCGGATATTCCCCTCATACAACCAGCTAGTGTAACAATTGCAAGAGGAAGTCCATCGCATTCCTTCACAATGAGTTTCATAGATGACTCTAAAGTCGGATTAGGCAACATGTCTTGTCCAAATTTGCTCAAGAATAAGTCCATGGCCTCCTCCATAGGAAGACAAGGCACTTGAAACTTCTTAAATCCCATAGACCGAACAACCCTTTCCGAACGTGTTGTCAACACCAATTTGCATCCATTATCTGATGTTGGCTTAAGGATTCCAACGTCCTCGAGAGAAAAGCCGTCCCATACATCATCCAGTATCAGCACATACCTCCCTTGCTCTATCAACATATCTGATAGCTTCCCTGCACGGACAATTGTATCCTCATCATCTGACAAGTTTTCTCCCAATTGACCAGCAACACTCTTCTGCAGCCTCCGAATATTAAAATCTTGGGATACAGTCACCCAAATTAATTTTCTAAATTCACTTCCTTTCAACAACCTATTGTGGACATCTTTCATTATGGTCGTTTTCCCTATCCCGCCCATCCCACATACTCCAATCATTCCAACTCATCTCCCATCAAATACTGATAAATTTCTTCTCTAACATTGGTTGAACCTACTACCTCCAGCGTTGGTAGGTTAACCGCTACAGTGGAAGGATCATTAACAACCAAGCTACCAGAGAAATGACCTTCAGTATGCACTTCCTTCATTGCTTGGGTAGACTCATCAACAAGCTTCCCCAGGCAAGGTTAAAGAATATTCTTAAGTATTCTAAGATCGTCTCTAGAACCTTTCATAAGGTTCTAGATCCTTTTATAGAGATATGAACTTTTTGTTATATTCTAGAACACTCTACTAATGTCTCTAAATTTGTAGTTAAGTGTGAAAATATAGGTGGAAAGGTTTAGTTTGTGACACTTTACATCCCAGAACTCAAGGAATTTCAGGTTAAAGAATAATACAATCTCAGAGCATTCCAAGCCAACTTGAGAGAAATCCCAATCCAGTTCTTGTTGCCACCCTTCAACACCTCTGGAAATTCTACACAATTGGAGCGCTTGTTTCCAAATCCTTGAATTAAAGAATCGCAACATAGATATCTGGGAAAATTGGAAGATTTGGATGAAAGATCAAGGGTGCCATTGGCAATCGGAAAACGACATCGGATCAACGATGGTAGTGTTGGAGATGGGTGATGGTTAGGGTTTTATGTGAGAGAAAACATGGAATTTTCTCTATATTTTTAGAGTTATATAGTTTTTTGGAGTTCTTAAGAATTTACGAAGGTTTATATCATTTGGTCAACTATAATTTTTTGATATAACTACTAATAAACTTACGCTATTTGTAAGAATAAAATCAACTGTCTAATAGTTATATTTATTTTCTATGTCAGTCTACAGATGATCATTATGATCCTAAGTTTGACATCAGCACTAAAGATCGTTATATAAATCATCATAGATAGTTGGAGAAAAAATTCCTCCTCTCTCGTTAACTCTCTCCTAGCTTATTTCATTATTCATAGTCTTTTTCATTTCGTCGATCATTGATTGCAACCTTTCGTCTAAATCAAAACAGATAAATGTCTACAACTGTATCTAATAAATTTCAAAATTTATAGAAGGAGATAGATATTTAATTCCATATTCTTTAAATTTATAATATAAATATTTTAAAATTTATACTCTTAACATAAAACTATCGTATCTATCTTTGATTACACATCTAAAATTTTCAACTTCAACGTTATTTTTTGTTACATTATTAATACAAATAAGTATTTAATCAATAAAATAGACAAATAAGCATCTAAATGTCAGTACTGGAAGATCTGAAACATACAATCTTGGTCTTGGAGAATCTCAAATTTTCAATACTACATATACGTACATATACACATTAATGTTCTACCAGATTCGTAGCGAATGCTATTCATTATTAAAGTTTACATATGAATTATATAGTTTATGCTAGCTGTTTCTTTTTCGACCGACATCTGTTGGCCGACATGTACCTAATATATTAAGATCTCTGTAATGCCTATATTAATTATTTTCTTTTAAAAAATGTCAAATTATTCGATATTAGGAGGAAAAAAAAAAGTAAGTTGCGATTTGACGTGATAGTCTAAAGTGGTTTATAATGTGATAAATAATATTATAGATAGGATAAATTGGCAACTCAAATATGGTAAATGGATTTTTACGTTAGTACCGTGAACTGCCACATCAACATCATAACGGTCAAACGACGAAAAGCATTGATTAAAATGCCACATTGAGTTTGTTTTCTGAGTTGGAAGGCTTCAACAGATGTTCAACTTAGATACCGTTAATTTTTTTATTGAGAAGCGACGGGTTTGAAATATAATGAATAGTCGGATGATCATTTTATAACTTTTAATAGTCGACGGACTCAAGAAATCAACACTCAATAATCGGATGATCACTTTATAACCATTTATAATCGAGATACTTAATAAAATAATACTTTATTATCGGTGATCATTTGTGTACTTTACCCAATTATTATAATTAATTCAATCAAAGAAATGATGGCGCAATTCAAAAATTTGTCGGGATAAGCATTATTTATGTCCCCTTTACCAATACCATGTTCAGATAAAAAGATACATTGTTAACATAACACTAACAATTATGTCCCTTTCCCCAAATAAATAAGGATGTACCATACACTTAATTGGATACGGTAATTTTTTTAAATTAATTACTGATATTCGATCTATTTATTAATTAATCTAAATTAGTTACTGCACAGGCAATGACAAACCTCTCAAAATAGTTTAGTAATTTTAAATATGAATACAAAAAATATAAATAAAAAATGTATTATAAACATAAGTTATAATAAAATATATTAAAATTTATATAAATGTATAAAAAAAAACAACAAGGGGCCCATTTTGGAAGACTCCCATACCTAATTCAACTGCCCATTTAATGCTTTTAGGTATACATGCCCCTTCCCGATTTAATTTTCTTTTAGTTATTTACGATTACAAGTTCAAAGAGTCAAATTGATAACCCTAAAAATATAGAGGCTAAAAAAGTTGTTTTTATCTTTTCTTATAGTTGCTAGATTAATCATTGATAACAATGAAACTGAAAAAATAGTAGAA